AGGGGCTGTGGCTTGTGCTGCCGGACCTGACCCCTGACCTGCGACCTCCGACCCTGGCGTGTGAACTAGGGTCTGTGACCTCCGACCCCTTGCCTTATTTATTTCTCTGCCCCTCGCCTGTCGCTCCTTGGTAATAAAGCAGCTTTTTTATGGAACTGCCTCTCGGGGTCTCGATGGCTTTGTGTGGGGGACCCAGGAGTCCAGGCTCTTCAGGGGGCGGGGGCAGAGGCCGGATACAACAGGGCTGGGGGTGGGGGGCTGGGTGGAATGGGGCTGGGGGCAGCTATTGGCGCTGATACAGCTGGCGGGGGGGGTGGGGGATTAGGCTGGATGTAACGGCGCTGGGGGTGGCTGGTTCTGGGATGGCTGGGTTGGTTGTAACGGCACTGAGGAGGGCCAGGCAAAGGGAGAATCCCAAACCCACACCAAAAGTGCATCTTTTGTGCCCTAAATACATCTAATTTTTTATCCTGGAAACCCACCCAAAATCCTTCACATCACAAACACAAGGTAACATTTTGGGGGATTCAGCTTTTTATTAGTAGTAGTAGTATTAATTGCCACAAATCTCCAAAACAAATCCAGCTCTTCAGCTTCACACACAGCCTTTTAAAAGCCAAAATACCCCTGAAATCCCCAAACAACTAGCGCTAAATTTAAAAAAACAAAGTTTAACCTTTCCAATATGTGAACCATTTTTAGTGCTTTTATTCCCAAAAATAAACCTTCACCATTACAGACCCACAACAGATGTATTGTGTCAGTTCAAAAAGATATAAGATCTATTTTTCAGTTTCAGCCCAGAAATGACATCACAAATCTCCAGAATTGCAGATTCTTCGTAGAAATAGCTGGATTGTTTTTCCAGCGATGCAACAGATGAGCTGCTTTCTTTTTCTTAGCCTCAGAATTGAACTACCAACATCCACATTTCAGGGTCACAACAGAATCATTTTTTTACATAATTTGGGACATCCATTTTCCATGTTTTTAAACCCAAAAATAGACCCAGAAAATTACAAATTCCTAATAAAAATCTCCTCCTCCTCTTTTTAGCTGGCATGGAATATGACCCAATTTTGGTGTTTTTAGCCCCAAAAGTCAACCATATCCCTTCTAATGACAACCTCATAACAGATCAGTTTTTAACTAAAGTAATGTATGAGCCATTTGGGGTAGTTTTCAACCCAGAAATTGTATCACAGATCTCCAAGCTGACAAATTCTTTACACAAATCTCTTTCTAACACAACACGAGTCTTTCTTTGGTGGTTTTAACTCTGGAATCTCCAAATTAAAATCTCCTAATGGCAATATCTACTTGTTATAACCAACATACAGATGAGCCATTTTTGGTCTTTTTAACCCAGAAAAACCCCTCTAAATATTCAGACTTAAAACAACAGAGATTTCTGTTTCTTTTTTAAAAAGAAACCATTCCCAAATCCCAGGATTTTAGAGCAAAATATATGGTTTTGTGGCTTTTTCTTTCTTTAAAAAAAAACAGTAAATACTGAAAAATACAAATGAAGAGTGTCAAAATAAAGCACCCACGGGTGCAATTTTGGGTGTTTTTCCCCCATAAAATGTGATTTTTGGAGGCTGACGTCCAGGTCATGGCTGGGAGAGAACCCAGGCGCCCGGGAGGCGGAGAACGAGCAAGGGTGGTGTTCGGTCAGCGCGTGGGCAGCAGGCGGGCTTGGACTGGGGTGTGGGTAGAGATGGCGGATGGGGTCTCCGGCAGGAATTAGGAATGGAGACCTAGGGGTAAAGACGGAGGAGGCACAGGGGGTGGCGATGGATTTGGGGGTCTATGGCAGGGAGAGGAATGGAGGATTATGGGTACAGATGGAGGAGGCACAGGGGGTGGCGATGGATTTGGGGGTCTATGGCAGGGAGAGGAATGGAGGATTATGGGTACAGATGGAGGACAGGGGGGAATGGGGGAAGATGGGTAGGCGGCTGGCTTGGAGCAGGGGGTTGTGGGTGAGGGAAGGGACGTGGGCAGGTGGCCATGTTGGCAGAGCCCTGAGGGATTGTGGGTACCGAGCCACCCCCCCGCTTGTCCCGGCCTGACCCTCACGACCCCGAGGTCGCCTGGGTCCCCTGCAAATCGGGGGGGGCCTCCCCTGCTTCGGGGCCTTGGCGTGAGTCCGGGGCCAGCAGGTCCGCGTAGAGGCCCTGGAGGTACCCAGGGAAGCCCCCCGGCGCAGGGGCAGGGGCCCCCTCGTACTCTGCCTCCCAGTCCTCCCCGGGGCCCCCCGAGGCCATCTTGGCAGTGGGGGACCCCCACGGGTGGCCATCATGGCTCCGCTTCCTCCCGCCATCCCCCACGGCCTGCGCCTGCGCCTGCCCGGGGCTTCGGGGCACCCCCGTGCCCCAGACCTTGCGGGGGGCAGTCGCCGCCCCCCCGGCGTGGAGGGAGACCGTGTCCGAGGGGGCGTGGCGGGACGCCCACCGACGGCCATCCGGGCCCCGCCCCCTCGTGCTGTGAGCCGAGGGCCCGGCCTGGCGTGACCCGGTTCCCCAG